ATTCAACAGCATCCATATGCATATTGCAAAACATCATGGTGTATATGATAAAAACATACAATGTTATTTGACAATTAAAAAATTAAAAATTAAATTTCAAAAAAGTCATGCCTGTTGACAACTTCAGCCTTTTCCTTTCATCATAAGACACCATGGAAAAAGCTACATCAGGTGGTCGATATCCATAATCCCAGCACTTGGGAAGCTAAAACAGGACAATCATGAACTTAAGGACTGCTTGAGCTATATGGATGGACTCTATCTCAAACCAAACAAATGAACAAACAATGGACATACAGAAGAGCAGAAGGGTCTTTGTGATCAGTCAGCCATAGGGCCTGAGCCATGAAGAAGACCCCTGGCAGACCCAGACAGGACACAGGCAGACAGGTGGGTAGATAGGCAGATGAACATCAAGGAGGAAGTAGCCCCTGCTGCAACTGGCATGGTAACCAGTTAATCACACCATGCCAAATCATGTCCCAGGTAATTTTCTGAGTAGCCGTCAGAGACTTACCCAGCCTGAGAAGTCAGCCAGTTATGCCTGATCATTCTCTGAATCCCTGTCCTTACAAAAGACAATCCAGAGTGGACCAATGTAGATAAATGAGCAGCTCTATTATCTCTGAAAGGCAATGTAATTCTCTTCAAATTTAAAAGTCTCCATAGTTTCCTAACAGGCCTCAGAGGGGCACATGCAGGAATTAATAAGTTCACATTGTGCCCAGTTTGCTTTTATTATCATTTTTGGCCAGGATTTTAGAAAGATTTCCATTATTACTCAAGAATTTTTGTTTCTGATTCTTTAAGATCAATTCTATAGAGCTCATACTCGGAGCTGAAAATTGAGTCAAACCTAATGCATTTGACTGAAGTCTAAGGGAAGATTTCCTGATTAGGTGGGACAGGGATCCAAACGCAGTGTCACAGGGACAGGGAACTTGGAGGAGGTGGACAGAAGCCCTGGGCCCATCTCTGCCCAGATGCAGGCCTGCTCTGGGATGCCATGCCAGCTGCTCACCCTGGGTTTAGGGGAGTATCTCTCTGAGGAAATTAGCAGACAGGCAGGTAAGAAGAAGGAAAGTCTAATTTATTAAACTTCAGCATTTGAATCATTGCCCTATATGTCATAGACATTTTTGAAGTTTTATCAAACCAATATTGAAAAGCTTATATTGTCCTACATGTGACAACATTCAGGTTCCTATAATCAGCTATTTTGCCATACTGACAATAATCATCAGTGGAATGATCCACATGTGGAACAGGGAACATAGACCCATTGTGTGAGTAAGGTAACAGATTTATGAACCTTTGCTGGAAAGCAATGTAGCATGATTCAGAAAATTTTAAAAATGCTTGTCCAATTAATTCCAATTCTTACAATCCATCCAACCAACAGAATCTAAAATATGGACATGGGTTCAAATAGAAAAATAAAAATAGACAAATCATCCATCAGACAATGATAAACTATAGAATATTTGTTAAGTATATTTAATATTTAACACAGTCATTTAATCAGATATAGCTGATTAAAATAGGAACATTAAATAAAATAGTGTATTTTCATTATCTGGTGAAAAATATTACTATAAGTATTTTATAAATATTTTTAAAATTATAAGTTAAATTGGTTCATTGTTCTAATATAACTTAACTGAATGATAATTAAATAAATAAAACATGTATATACAATTTAATGGTAAATATGAGAGATGATCACAATTTTTTAAAAAAGCGTAGAAAAATGACTGAAAGGAAATACACAGAAATGTTCAAAGATGCCCTCTCTGGTGGTAGAAAAACATGCTTCATGCTTTTTGGGTGCTGAATTATTTTTTCACATTTTCTGCAATGAATGTTTTATTATTGTCATAATCAGGAGATACATCATGAAAACTATGTTACCTCCCTGAATTATGAATTCATGTACACAATATAACTGAGATTATTATTACAGGAGAATCATTTGGTATTGCATATGATTCTAAATGATATTTATCAGAATTTATGTGCAAAAAAATTTTTACGTAAAACACTTTAAAGGTAGAGTTGAGGGAGATAAGAGAAAGAAGACCAAGCAAAAGCAATATAGTGGGAACTGTCTTCCACAGAGCTTATGGTTCACCTCGTGAGCTAAATATAAAGACCCCAAGGAAAGGGGTGGGGAAATCGACCCATAATACATGAACAGTTGATAAGGGGAGACTAAAAGCTTCAGTGGACTTCAAGGAGTGATGGAGATGGCAGATATGAATTTTTCAATTTTATAAGAATGATAGGGATCTGAAATAAATCTTCGGTATTTTCTTTTTAAGATAAATGTTTTAAAATAAATGCCTGCAGCATGGATGGATGACTAGTGCCTGTTTCCTGTCTTAGAGCTGATCATAAATAACACTGAGAGAAATAGCTTTGACCATTCTAAAAAGCACCTTTACTTTTTTTACTCTTAAGAGCTTAGAAGATTGTATTTTGATGCATTAAGCTCAATTTTTTTTAAAGGCAGCTGCAAAGAGCAGGTAGAGTAGAGAAATTATCTTTAGTTGGTAAAAACTTCTTGGAGCCCAGCTAGAAGCACAGCGTAGGTTCAACATTGTCTGAATGAGGACGGCACTTCCAGCAGTCAGAATACAAGTCCAAGTTCAAAGACAATGGTAGATTTATGTTTAAGAAGTCATTTGGTAACTCTTCAAGTGAAACTTTAATCGTTCTTCAGCACTAAAGTAATGTTTTGTAAATTCAAACTTTCAAATGTCAAATTTGCTTGAAATGCTTTTGCTTTGTTTTTCTTTTCTGGTTTATATATTACGGAACTTGTAACTTTACTGTGGACTTTACTCACTGTTGGTGAGAACAGGACTCCATGAAGGGTAGACACAGTGAATACTCAGAGGCATTTCTCCTCTGCTAAAGCATTAACTTCACTGCACAGAAATGACTTAATGACAGCTATTTACTTCCCTTAAACTTTGTCTTAGTTACTTTTAACTTGTCGCTGAGACAAAATACCTGATACCCAAAGCTGAGAAAGGAAAGGTTTATTTCTTATAGTTTTTGGAGGTTTCAATCCATACTCAGTTGGCTATAAGGCAGGGTGGCATGGCGGGGCCTCAGTTCATGGTGGCTACAAACAGCAAGGCAGAAACCAGCAAGAGAGAGCGAGACACACCTTCTTCCTGCCATTATATTACATCCTGGCTCCACCCCTAGGCTGGTGTAGCACTCACACCCCCAAAACAAGTGCTAGACAATGAACCAATCACAAATGTATAATGCAAACACATGAGGCCTGGGGGCCACTGACATAAACCATGACAAAATTTTCATTAGTTTACTTTATTACACTTGAAAGTGGTTTTACATATTTGAAAGAAAGTTGTATATGAGGCCCTGCTTAGTGCAAGGGCCCCTGTATATAAGCTGTGACAGAGGGCCTGAGGAAATCCAGAGCATATGGTTGGTCTAAAGAGGGGAGCTATGGCTTTGCTTCTATGTTTCAGAACTTACTCATCACCATGAACCAGAATCCTGAATTTTCATGCAAATATCTCTCAATTTCTAAATGTCATATTTATGTTTTTAAAGCACACAGTGGATACCAAACTAAATATTTACATGACCCAACAACTTTGCTAATATTTGCTTAAATATCTTATTTTCAGAGGTTTCTCAGAGTTGCTGATTCATACAAACATGTTCAAGAAAAGATGAGTTGGACTGTTTCTAGGCTGGCAAACAAGATTTGAGGAAGAGAACTTATTTTTGTGGAAAAGACGGCAAGCGATCTTTTCTTCGAAGTGGTATGTAGTTGTACAGAACCTTTGAAGATATCCAGAAGAAGTACGGAAGTGCCCCAATTCTAATCACCATAGAAGTCACACTTAGGTTCCCATGGTGGTTATCATTCTACATAAAATAAAGATAAAGCCTTCTTCTGAGAGTGGAGAGTATCCCTGCACGCTCTGCAAGGGTGCTTATGGGTTTATTTTCACATAACATTGAATTTAACCCATCCTGTCACTTCTTACTTTATAATACTCCAAAATGAAAAAGAGGTCTTCACGGAGCTTATCTCTTAAAAGTACAAAAGAACCCATTTTTTTCCCACCCAGTAGATCATAATGTAACAGAAAATCTGTCAGAAAAAATAAAACTTCAACATGGTGAAAACCACTGCCTGGCACCCATCTATCATAAAGCAATCTTCTAGAAGTCATGGAAACCTTCATTAAATTTCCTGTCTTTCTCCTGACAGTTATAAAATGTTAACAATATTACTCATGATGCAGGCATCTTCAGAAATTCTCTGTCCAATCCCTCCTTCTGTTGCCACCCAAACCTTTGTGTACGGAAACACATGGCATAGCAGTATCCCCCACACAAACCCTTTCAGACATGGCCCTTGGAGGAGGTCAGGGAAGAAAGCGGTCAATGTTCTGATAACAGTGAGAAAGCTCTTCAGGCACCGATGCAGAGGGCAAACCTGTTCTGCCGTCTGCTTTCCTCTCCAAATGCCCCAGCTACAACGTAAAATCAAGAGCACGAGCCTTACTCTTAAATATTTCCTGATCATTTTTATTCTTCCATCTTCTTTTTGCCATTATGAAGTTACAAGTACACATCTATACACGATCATGTAGTTAGTGGGGACAGTGGATCACACATTTTATCTATGGATCTCTGCATCAGCTATCTAGTGGGGAAATGCCCCCAATGACTTTTCAAATCCAAGTTCTCTAACTTCAAGGGCTACTTCAGCAATTTACAACCTCTCAGAAAGAAAGAAAAAAGGGCTCCTGTATTGGAGGTACTCCGATGGGAAAAATCCACAAGCAGATATAAAATCCACACCCAAATAAAAATAGGAACACATCACTCAATTCACAGGCTGAACTAAAAGAAGTACAAATGGTGAGAGTAGCTGTGATGCCCCAGCCTACACTTTGTAAGTCTTAAAGTGAATCAGGCTCCACCACATGAAGGCTTCCTCTCACCTGCAAAAGGAACTGGTGCATCTTTATCCAGGGCTACCAGCGGTGGGTCCAAAATGACTGTGTCATTATTCTCCGTTATGACTCCATGATATGAAGTCTCAATCCATGGCTTGTGTTTGTTGACTAGAAAACAATAGAAACAAAAAAGCACATGTAAGTAATTAACCTCTAGTAGTATTATTACTTTTGAACATATTCCCAGTAACACATTCTCTCATTCAACAACTATTAGAACAACTATTATTTTGATTATTTATTTATTTTTGAGACAGGGTCTTGCTGTGTAGTTCAGGCTCACGTGGACTCACTATGTAACCCAAAGTAGCCTTGATCTTGTGATGATTCTCCTTCCTCAGCCTCCCAAATGCTGGAATTACAAGCATGTGTCACCACATCTAGCTCTGTTAACCCATTTAGTAGCCAGAGAAGCTTCAGAGACTTACAGAAAGAGGTCAATTCACCCCCGGCACACATAAAGCCAGGTACAGTATCAAGATGGCAAAGTCATTTTTTTCTCTAAAAGCATACATCTTTCACCTCACTAGAATTCTGTTATTTCTATTTCTGGACTTACAGTGTAGATAGGTATTGTTAAACTGATTATAAATTTAGAATTTTAAATGTTACTATTGATTAATAGACATTTTAAAATTAAAGTCCATTACCAATTAAAAAACCTGAAAGATTATGACTTTGTGTGCTGGGATTTCTGAAATCAACCTAACTGACTCCATCCTTAGGAACTGTTACTGCACTTTATACACATGCATACATAATACATAAATACATACAAAAACACCAATATGTATATAAATTTCCAACAAACATTTGAGTAGTTTTTGGTCATTTAAAGACTATCTAAATGGTCTAGATTACCTAGCCACTTTACTGTTCCATAAATTGACTGCCTGAATGATATATTATCTAATGATCAATTAATATATTTAAAACATATATCCAACATACATTACTGGTTGAATTATGTCTGCCCCTAAAACATGTATGTTGGAATCCTAACCCTCAGGTCTTCAGACTTTGACTGTGCTTGGCAATAGAGGCCTCTCTAAAAAGCTAAAATGAGGCCTTGGCTAGGCCTTCATCAAACATCACTGGAATTCTTATAAAATGGGAAATCTGGACTCAGAGAAGATGGACACCCAGGAAGAACACGGTGAAAAAACTGGAGCGGTGCCATCACAAGCCAAGAAACCATTAGGAGCTAAGGCGAAGCTCAGAACAGATCCTCCCTTAGCATATCTAGAGGGAGAATAGCACTACGCTGCACCTTGATTTTAGGCTTTTGCTCTCTGGAAGTATAAAATCAGACATTTCCATCTTTCTAAGACACTCAATTTGTGATGCTTTTAATGGCCACCCCAGTGGTATACTTTGCTTACAGTTAACAGGTAGAAAACTGAACTAAGACTTGTGTCAGGATTTGATATAATATTCCTTCATCGGCATCTTATTGATTAACGTTTATTCTTTTCCCACTCCATCTCCTAATTTTGTTCTGGCCCAAGTTCCTGTCTGGATTGGACAGTTGGTCTCAAATTTGGAAGTCCTGGCCCCTTCCAGTCCATACTCCACATTAATATCAACAGTAACCTTTGTAAAATCTTAATCTGATTACTCAACTGTGAATTTCTTGATCTTTTTTTTAATCCCCCCAACCTCACAGAAGCCTAAGTACAAAGTAGATGCTTTACAAAGAAGAGCCCTAAACAACCCAACTTGTCCAGGTACCAATCCCCACCCTGTGCCTCAGTTTCAAAGTTGGGATTCCATATGTAATCTCCCCCAGCAACCTGTGGGGTAGATATAATCACTATAAAGATGATGAATAAACTACTTCCATGAGATAGATGTGACTTCTCAAAACCATCACACTATTAGTAGTGAGTAGGAAGACAAAAACTCTCTATGTTCCATGGTATCTGAAACATTTACAAAAATGCACACATAATGCATATACATATATACCACTGTATACATCATCTGTTAAATTTTTCATTGACAGTGACAAAGCAGAAGCTTATATAATAGGTACCAGCTCTGTTGCAGAAGTTATTATCCTGTCTCATCCCACTACCCTTCCAAAGGCCAGCTTATCCTAGGATTACTGGGAGCCCCAACTCAAGCCCTCCTCTGACTCCTTCTGACTCATTCCTCACCAATCACCAACTGATTGGATGGCAGGGGCGAAATATCTGGGCCCCTGAAACCCCTTTCTGCTGGTCAAATCAGGCTAGGGTGGACAGCAGTTCCACCCACTGAAGGTGTGCCTGGAACATCAGCCTCATACATTCTTCCATTTTGGCACTGGGATTGATGCTTCACTATGAACCTTGGAAGAATTATAGCCACTCTGAGCTATCCTCACACTCCTAAACTGTTTTATTAGCTATCAACACAAATGCAATATAAATAATTTGCTGTTGTTGGGAGAAACAATTAATCTTTTCTTCCCATAATTAAACCTAGGGGACTATTTATTAGAAATGTGCACAGAGTGTACTCCAGGAGCTCACCCAGAGGTTCAGATTCACAGTGCTTCTGAGTGGCTGGCACTGAAATCTGGAGTCGCTGTTTTCACTTTTAGCATTGGCTTAGCTGTTTCTAGAAGCTGATACCAAGTGCACGAGGCAGCCTCTCAGAGTTTCAAGTCCTATGATTATAAATGGGGATAAGGACATCACTCACATGTTTGTCCTGCCACTCGAATGTCCTGTGCTGGACCCACAGCCTTTGCCCTCTCATTACTTAGACTCACCTCTGGGAAGTGACAGCATGTGCTGAAGAGGTAGTTTGTGGCCAACCTCTGATTGGTGGAGGAGAGTTGACTTCCTTAATAGCCACAGGCCTACCTCCCTTTAACCTCTCTGGCTGCTACAGAAAGGGACACACCTATTACACATAGGGTGTTTTATATACACAGATGATAATCCTCACAACAACTCCATCAGGTAAGGTTTTAAATCTCAGGCAAGGACTTACAGCTCAAGAAGAATTCAACATCCCTGTTTTGGAAAATAAAAACACAAACATTCTTAAAATTTTCTTACTTTTCTTCTACATTCTCTCAGACCTATCTGGACTATTGCTTTGTCGACATTGAGGAACATTTCTATTTTGATGTGCAACAAAATAAACTGCATCCTTAGCATTGCAAATTGATAACTTAAACATGTATTACTTTGACTATGAGGAAATCGTCCATGGCTGAGTCAAGTATTATACAAGAATTATGTTTTCTTCTCAGTGGTTCAATGGACCTTTCAAATATATATGTGCTGCGTCCAAAGCCATTGGATTCTTTAGTCTTTCAGTGTCAGAGTCAGACCCCATCTAAGCCTGTATCATATATGGAAGCATCCTCCTTTGTATACTTTTTAGTTTTCCCAAATTGATGATCTTTTTCTTTTGTGTGTGTGTATTGAAACATAGGACTTCTCCATAGCCCAACATATTTTAGCTTCTCAATTATTCCACATGATATGCATTTTTGCATTTGTAAAATGGGGATAATTATTTCACATGAATCTCTTAGCAATTGCAAGGGTTACTGTAGGTAAATCTAGGACCACCTAGGCAAAGCACGCATTCAAACACTCTACGAGAGTTGAAGGCCCTTTAAAAAGATTTGACAAAATTCAGTATCTATTTTTTAATTCAAGCTATCAAGAAGTGAGAAGCATAATTGAATTTACTCAATCGGATAAAGAACCTTTATAAAAACATCACACTTAAAGGTAAAAAGTAAATGCTTTTAAGAGCAACAATACTCCAAGGATGCCCACTCTCACTTGCACTCACATTGTCCTGGAGGATCTAATTCATACAATAAAGCGAAAAAAGAAGTGTCAGTTTGGATATAAAAAGTAAAATTGTCCTTTATTCACAGAGAACATGATAACCCATTTTGGAAGTATTATAGAACAAAAGGTGCTGCTAGAAATTATAAAAGCATCTAGGAAGGTCACAGAATGGAAAGTAAAAGTATAAATTCAATGGTATATCTATTACTAGCAATGAAAAAGTAAAATTTAAATTAAAAGACAATTACATAGTACTAAAAACCATGATATACTTAATAATAACTTTCAAAAAAGCATGCAAGATCTGTACAGTGAAAAATTCAAGACACTCTGAAAAAATTTCAAGACCTGAGCAGTCTTTAGGGAAAGATAAACGGTGCTTATATTTGGTAGGCTCAATATTGTTAAGATGTATATTTTCCCCAAAATGGATTTACAGATTTAAGGCACTCCCAATCAAAATATCAGCAGAATTTTTTAAAAAGGATAAGCTAATGTGACATTTATATGAAAAATTGAAAAGATCTGACATGGCCTCGTTTAACTTTGGAAAACAAGAATAAAGTTGAAATACTTGTAGCATCTGATCTGACAAAATTATCCTAAGCAAGACAGTGTGGTACTGACATAAACTAGATCTGCAGGCCAACAGAAAAATAGGAGGGACAGCCAGATATGGTGCCCTGTGCCTATAAACAGGGACTCCAGAGGCTGAGGCAGGAGGATTGCTGGTTCCAGTCTGTTGTAGTCAGGGGTTGTGCGGAGAACAATTAAAATCAGGACATGGTGTTTATAATATTATTTTATGATAGTCACCCAGAGTTAATGCAAAGTGCAGGAAATCTATCCACAACACTAAAGACATAGAATATTTAGCCAAGGGCCTTAATCCCACAGTAAAGCCCTACCTGAGTCCAGATGAAAACTTAAGAGTCTATTACAATGTCTCCCATGAATCCACTGGAGGTCTGAAGCCCATGAGAAGGACTTACACCAGTCTCTTTTATGGATCCATGCTGGGAAGGCCCAAAGGTCAGCAGTGGAAGCTAGGAAGTCTATGCCAGTGGGTGAAGGAGCTGTGCTGGTAGGTTGAGCGTTCTACGCTGGAGCTGAGAAGTCACACTCAAAACAAAGACCAGGACTGTCCTGAAAAGCATCACAGCCATTCTCAGTGACATGGAGGCTCCAAGCTCCTCCAACGACAGGCACAGTCAAACACATGCCAGGAAGCCAGCATGATGAGTTCATCAGGGAGATTAAGCAGTACATGTCTTCCCCTCCGAAGCCAGGAAGCAATGCTCGATG